GGAGGGCCATTTCCAGGTAAACTTGTCCAGCAGATCCACGCTGAGATTTCAGATTTACAAACCAGATAAATTAGCAGAGGGAAGAGATTTGCGAGGGTTGGTTTAATTGGTGGAATCATTTACCACAAGTTCCCCATTAAAACTGCAATGGGCGGGGGGAGGGATCTTCCTGGAATCACTCAGACAGGAAGATGGAGCACAGGGAGGTACAGAATCAGGCTGGGAAGGCCACTGTGTGCTGCCTCCTTTGGTAAGGGGATCCAGGAGACCGAGCCTCTATTTGCATACCTCTGGGGAGGGGAGCTCACTCCTTTGCGCAGCAATTCATTCCATCCTGGGGTAGCTTATTTCTAGAAAGCTCTATCAATGTGGCCTCTTTAATAACCGATACCCAGCTGGTCTTAATTCTGCCCTTCAGAGACACAGGGATATTTGCTCCAGCTGGGAAAATGGCAGGAAAGGAGCCCAGTAGGATCATCACCTCTTCGCACAGTGAGAACAAGGCTTACGGGCTAAAACGCTGCATAAACCCCAGCTGTTTGCTTGAAGCACTGGCTCTCAACCTTCGCTACACATTGCACTCACCTGGTGAACCCTGAAAAGTCCCGAGGGGGCCTGCTGAGGGTGGGTGCACAGCTGAAGTTGGAAAACCAGAGTGGCAGGGGGCCAGCCTCCCTTGCCGGATGCCTGGGCCTTCCTGGCTGGGAGAGGTCGCTGGCAAGCTGCCTAACCAGGGGCTTGAGCATGGCACATCCGCCACCAAGTGCTGGGGGGGGACCACCCTGGGCGGGGGCCTAGCTGCAAGGCAGTGTCCCTTTAAGAAGCCCCTGCTTGCTGCTCCTGGGGCTGCCTCATACCCCGCTCTGCTATCTTTATGCCTGCAGACTCCCCCAGGCCGCTGTGGGGATGGCACTTCTGGGCTCTCCGAGACAAGACGGAGAACACCTGTTACACCCCGTGGAGCACACTGCTCCCTAAATCAGAAGCACCACTGCTCCCCGAATGTCAGGACCCAGGGCCGTGGGTTTAAGCTGGTTCCAATAGTACCCGTTCACCACAATGCCAGCAGGGAGGTGATGGATGGGAATGACCTGTTGGTTTGCCTGGACTGTCCCAGTTTGGGCACCAACAATGCTTCGAAAATGGGCAGAATCACACAGAGGCGACAGAAGTCAGGTGAGAGGGCAGGAGAGGGGAGTGGTGACCAGAAGTGGGTACTGGGGAGACTTCCAGGATCCTGGGAACGTTTTCTATGGGTTTTTCCTGGGAACTGGTTCCCCAGGTGTGGTCAGTCTGTGGGAATTCACAGAGCCACACGCATAAGATCTGTGCACGCCCCACGTGGCTGCTACTTCACTACCAGAGAAGAAAAATCCCAGAGGGCAGGCTGGGTGGAGGCCAAAGGTTCAAGTTCTTGCCTTTCTACATGGCTCACGTGCCAGGGTGTACATCTACGGTCCTCAGAACAAAGGTTTGAGGGGGCAGAGGCAGTGAGGGGGTGGCCTGAAGAGGGATGGGGAAAAGGACTCTAAAACATCCCTTTTGGGACTTCCCTGGAGGTCCAGTGGTTAAGACTCCACGCTTCCACTGCAGGGGGCACAGGTTCAATCCCTGATCAGGGAACTAAGATCCCGCATGCCACGTGGTGTTGCCAAAAAAAAAAAAAAGTCCCCTTGGTGACACCCCCCGCCCCTCACTGGGCCAGGGCCGAGCAGCTCCTCAATGGCACTCATTGCTTTAGGCGACAAATGTTTTTTTTTTTACAATTTTTTTTTTTTTTTTTTTTGCGGTATGCGGGCCTCTCACTGTTGTGGCCTTTCCCATTGCGGAGCACAGGCTCCGGACGCGCAGGCCCAGCGGCCATGGCTCACGGGCCCAGCCGCTCCGCGGCATGCGGGATCCTCCCGGACCGGGGCACGAACCGGTATCCCCTGCATAGGCAGGCGGACTCTCAACCACTGCGCCACAAGGGAAGCCCCGACAAATGTTTTTAATGAGGTCAACCTGGGCTTGGAGCATAGTTTCGTACAGGTAATTTTTTTTTTTCTCAAAGCCTTTTTCTGAACTATGGCATAATTTACCATAATGAAATGTGCAGATTTTAGGTGTACCGTTAGACGAATTTTGACAATTGTAGCCACCACCCATTTAGCCACCACCCCAATCAAGAGGGAAAAACTGGGACATTGGGAATGACATACACCCTACTATATATAAAATAGATAATAAGGGCCTACTGTATAGTACAGGGAACTCTACTCAATACTCTGTAATGGCCTATATGGGAAAAGAACCTAAAAAAAAAAAGAGTGGATATATGTATAACTGATTCACTTTGCTGTACACCTGAAACTAACACGACATTGTAAATCAACTATACTCCAATTAAAAAAAAAAAGATATTGAACATTCCCATCACTGCAGAAAGCCTTCTGTCCCTTGCCTGTGGGTCCCTAAGACCACCCAGAGGCAACCCCTGTGCCAGTTTCTATCATCATAGATCATTTGCCGGCTTGTGTGCCTCACAGCCGTGAGATCATACGGTGTGTACTATCTTGGTGTCTGGCTTCTTTTGTTCAGTGTATTGTTTTTGAGATTCATCTCTTTTACTTTATGTCGTTTTGTAGCCACTTTTATTGCTGAATATATGTGTATGTTTATATATATTTATAATGTATTATAATATAGTTTAACTTATCCCTTCTCTTGTTGATGACATTTGGTTGTTTCCAGTTTTTGGCTATTATGAATAAAGCTGCTATAAACATCCTATTAAAAAAAAAAGATTTCCTGGCTGGCTTCCTCTGCCCCAAATTCCCGTAATTCCACAAAAGCAGCTCAGGTTTGCCCCCAAGAACTCCCACCCAGGCGCGCCTGAGTCCCACCCTCTCCACGGGGTGGGTCCTAGAGCACAGGCAGTCAAGCATCTGCTGAGATGGGGAAGGACCCCGCTGACATGGGGCCAGGCAAAAACAAGCACACAAAGCATCACCATAGTTTGACTGCGGGAAGGGCTGTGGAACAAGGAAGCGTTTTATTTATTTATTTAAAAAGAAAAAAAAATTTTTTTAACTTTTTGGCCGCACCCCGAGGCATGTGGGATCTTAGTTCCCCAACCAGGGATCGAACCTGCGCCCCCTGCATTGGAAGCTCTGAGTCTTAACCACTGGACTGCTGGGGAAGTCCCCAAGGAGGGTTTTTTGTTTTTTTTTTTTTGTTTTTTTTTTTTAAAAACAGAGCAGCTGTGAGGGTTTCCTTTGGATGGAGTGTCTGGGAAGGGCTCAGAGAGGATGAGATCCAGGCAGGGGAAGCAGCATACGCAGCGGACCCCAGAAGGAAAGACCCCTAACTCGCGGAAGAGAAATATTCTACGGCGCTGTGGTCCAATTGTGTACAGCCAGGGAAACATGGAATATCATCTATACCTTGTAATATGTCGTTGAGTGGAAAAAAGCAAGCCCCAGAAAACACACAGTCAGATACCCTTGTCAGGTGTATACACAGGACAAAACTGTTTGTAAAAGTCAAGGGAAAGATAAGTGTGGGTGGACAGCAGTTACCATCATGTCATGGTCGCAGTGGGGGGTATTCTTATTCAAACAATAAACAAACGTAACTTGAAAGCTAGGATCGATAAGTATGTCACAGAACAAGGATCATGAGTAATTGCATTCTGTGCACCTGAGGTCCATTAAAAAAAAGGAAAAAGAAGGCTTTGAAATGTTTGAGGGTCTGTGTCTTAAGCAGGTCACTTTGGCTGCATGGAGAGCAGTTCCCACATCTCACTGGCAATCTCGCTGCTCTATCTCTGCACCTGCCTCTCTGTATCTGCTTGAGTCCCATCTTCTCTTAGGTGGGGGGAGCTGGCTTCATACTCCATTCACCGTGGACCACCGGGGGGCCACCCAGGGGATGCAGGACCCAGAAACCGAAGCCCGTGAGCCTGGCCATATCAGACGCCTGGCCCCTGTGTCCCTCCAGCTGGGAGCCTGGGAGGACGGTCAGGAGCCCCAAGAGGAGGTCTGCTCAGCTGCTACCATCTTTACCAAGTCAGCAGTGTCAGCCGAGCCCCCCAAGATAGGGAGTCGGACACAGACGCACACGTGTTTCTGCAGGGGTTTCAGGGACAAGAAACCAAAGGGGGTGGACGGAGGATGGGAGGAGGACATCAAGGAAGAGCTTGGGAATGCCTTAACAGGGGGTTACAGCTCAAAGGTGTGCAAGATACTCAGGTGAAGAGAACCAGGGGTCAGACACGCTTTGCATATTCCATACCCAGGAACATTCTTCACTTGTACCAAGAAGCCCATGGCCCTCTCAGCCTCTTTTTCTTCCTAGCACTTTTGGGGCAGAATAGCAGAGACATATTTTTCTGTACCCAAGAAACAGGCCAGTAACAGCACGATGACAAATGGGCCTGGTACCTGGTCTCAGTGGAGGTGGGGCGGTGGGGGACACCAGGGTATGGAAGGGACTGAGGCTGCCTGGGGAGGGTGTGGCAGCTCCTTTCCTACCAAAGAGGGGCAGCTGCCACTCAGCTCCGATGTACTGTTAAACGTGGGCCCTGGGTTGCAAGATCTTCCAATTTTTCCAGAAAAGCTGGAAATCCAGATTTTGGCGATCTCTCTCAATATTTAAATGTTGGTGTACTTTTTAAATTTTTTAAATTTATTTTGGGCTGCATCAGGTCTTCGTTGCTGCGCGCAGGCTTTCTCTACTTGCAGTGAGCGGGAGCTACTCTTCGTTGCGGTGCGCAGGCTTCTCACTGTGGTGGCTTCTCTTGTTGCGGAGCACAGGCTCTAGGCGCGCGGGCTTCAGTAGTTGTGCCACGTGGGCTCAGTAGTTGTGGCTCACGGGCTCTAGAGCACAGGCTCAGTAGTTGTGGCACACGGGCTTAGCTGCTCCGCGGCATGTGGGATCTTCCCGGACCAGGGCTTGAACCGTGTCCCCTGCATTGGCAGGCGGATTCTTAACCACTGCGCCACCAGGGAAGTCCCTATTTTTTTTTTTTAAGTATAATTTCCACTTTATTTTCTTTCCAGGGGATAGTATTCTTCAGTCTTTAAGGACTTAGCTCCTTCCATGGGCTTTGGCGGAGGTTGTGGGGCAGCACCCGCAGGCCTAAATCGGGGTGGAGGTGTTCGGTCCTTCCGGGCTTCCCGAGAATGACTCCTGACTACCTTGCGGTGAACGGCACAACTCACGCAGTAATGCAGGTTCACACACAGCTTGGGAAGCACATAGGCATAGAAAACCCTCGCTTCGGAAATGTCCCTGACAGCTGCGGCCTCTACGATGTTCCGAATGACGAACTTCTTAATGGCCTCATCCTCGGGCATGTGTCGGGCACAGCTGGTGCAGCGAATAGGCTGCATGAGGCCGCGGCCCTTCTTGGCACGACCATTATTCCTTCTTTTCTTGGTCATCTTGGAAGCGAGGAGGAGAGAGCTAAATGTTGGTGTACTTTTCAAAAAACACACCGCGTGGGCCAAAGAAAACATGTCTGGCCTACAGATTCCCCATTTTTCCCTTCCTAGTCCCCCTGAAGTTCTCAAATGTCTTGGGATTTAGGGGCAGTCAATTTCCTGGATGAAGGGGTGTCTGTGTGTGTGACCACTCATGGGATCGGTGCCTGGAGTAAGGTGGCGGGGTCCCGAGCTAACGGCCCCTGGGACCCCTTAGAGCTCACTGGGCTGCCTCTGAGGTGGGGTCAGGAGTAGGTTAAGCGAAATGTAAACCAGGTGGAGCAGAAGATGGCCTGTGACCATCTGCCGGCTCTGGACGCTGACCTGGGCATCTCAGCTGCTCCCTGCTCCAACTGGGCTTCAGCACCTCCAGCTGGGCCTGTTCAGCCTCGACTCCTAGCAAGCTGGGTGACCCTGGGCATGCCCTGCGTCTCCCCGCGCTTTGGGCTGGCGCCTTGTCACTCCCAGAGTCAGAACACAGGGCCTACGTCGGAAGGACTGTGGCTCCAGCTTTGCAAGCCGCTGCCCTGTCCACCGCAGTTCCATGGGCCCAGCGCTGCACTAGCTAGGGATGCAGACGTGATGATGTGTTTACATAAGCGGGGTGGATGCAGGGAATAAGCAAAGAAGGGCAAGCGGGGGAGTGCTGGGGGTCTGGGGCTCAGGGAGGGCACCCTGGAGGTGGTGGCGCTGGAGCAGAAAGCTGAAGCAGATCTAAGTGTGGGGGCAGCTGGGATGTCAGAAAGGAGCCCTGAAATCCCCAGATGGAGCCAATTCCTGCTGGCCAGGCCAGCCTAGGTTCAACCATATCCCACTACAGCATACCCGACTGCTTTGACCAGGAGCCCACGGGGTGTACCCCCAGCATCTGCCTGCAAAGGGTGGCACATACAGCCAGGTGTGACCCCACTCCGCCCAACCCTAAGTCAGGACAGCCATCGTTGAAATGAACCTGGCATTCTCTCTACTGAGTCCAAACAAACCTAGAACAGTGCTATCCAGGAGAGCTTCCTGGAATGATGAAAATGGTCTACACCTGCGTTGTCCAGTTGGGTTAGCCACCAGCCACGTGTGGCTACTGAGTGCTATGAAATGAGGCTAGTGTGGCTAAAGAATTGAATTTTTAAAAAAATCTTACTTGATTTTAATTAATATGAACTTAGCTAGAGTTCATATTAATTAAATGTGAACTAGAGGCTACCGACTTGGACAGTACAGTTCTAGGACTTTTCTACCCATCGCTCATTCAATAGCAAGCAGCCTCCACCTGAAACAATGTCCATGTCGCCTCCGTGGCCTGCAGCTCCAGGTCATTTGGCTGCGGTTAACCCCCCAAGCCACAGGCCCTGGGACCATTCCAGGTCCAGATTCCATCTCTGTCTCCATGATGTCCGGAACCTCACTGAGGTCCTCAAGAGTGAAGGACTAGCTGCCGGCATGAGGCGGGGTCTCGAGTTTACCACTACTTTCCCCCAGGAAAAGCCCCCCGGTTGTTCACTTAGCTCAGGGGGTAAAATGTTTAGCACTGACATTTAGCTCTTTTTTTTTGTTTGTTTTTGGTTTTTTTTTTTGGTTACACTGCACGGCTTGCAGGATCTTAGTTCCCAGACCAGGGATCGAACCTGGTGATAGTGCACAGTCCTAACCACTGGACCACCACGGAATTCCCGACACTTAGTTCTTTTAATGAGCTCAACCTTGAGCCAGGGAGAAAGGGCAGGAAAATTGCTATTGTGCCCACGAGTACCTGACCTACCTGCCTCTCTCTTCACCCTCCCATTACCAAGATGGGCTCACTGAGGCTTTGGGACAGTCTTGTCGGGGCTCTTTCCACTGGTCCTCAATCTCAGCAGTCCAGGAGGGCTAGGGTGGCATGGGGGACACATAGGGCAACAACAGCCAGGGCTGCCAGAACAAAGCACTGGGGGCCTTAAGCAACAGAAGTTTATTTTCTCACAGTTCTGGAGGATGGAAGTAGAACGGAGTGCTGGCAGCGTTTCTGGAGAGGGCTCCCTCCTGGCTTGATGAAGGATGCATCCTTGCCTGGCCTTCCTTCTGTGCACATGTGGGGAGAAAGCAAGCGAGCTCTCTGGTGCCTCTTCTCCTAAGGACACTAATCCTATTGGATCAGGGCCCCACCGTTATGACCTCTTTTAATTTTAATTACTTCCTAAAGGCCCATCTCCAAATACATTCCCACTAGGGGTTAGGGCTTTAGCATATGGGTTTTGGGGGGACACAAACATTCAGTCCACAATACCCTTAAAGACACTGCCGGCTACTGAGAAGAGACTCGTGAAACAACTGGACAAATGACCAGAGATGATGGGAAAAGGGCTGCAATGAACATAAGCCCATGAGAAACGGTACAGAATGGTTCCCAAGCTGAAGGGAAGGGGCTCTGAGCTGAGCCGCAGCCTAGCTCCCCAGGGCCTGTCTGCACCTGGGGGAATCAGTGTGACCACCACGTGCCTTGGCAAGTCCTCTCCTTTATGGACTCAGTTCCAAACCCATGAAATAAAAGAGCTGAACTAAAGATGTCAGGCTGGGTCCAGCCCAGAGTGGCCGAGAACTAGCTATTCAGTGTGCTAACGTTCTCCACCAGGGAGGGCAGAGCTAACACCCAAATGGTGCTGTCCCAGACCTTAGGCTGGGGCAGGAGAGGGCTGGAGGGGACCCCTTTGTGGCCAGCCTCCAGCCCTGCACCTACCTGCCCTGGGGCAAAGAACCCTCTGGTCGGTCTACTCTCCCTAGCTGTCCCAGGCTGGGGCAGGCTCAGTCAGCAGCAGAGCTATGCTTACTTACTGGACAGGGGTCGTCAGCCCCTGCTGCTTCCAAAGTGCGCCTGGCCTGGGGGTCCAGCTATGGCTGAGACATGCCTGCAAAGGAAGCCCCGGCCCAAGCTGTCGCGTTGTCCTGCACTCCTGGCTGATGGTGGCACCAAGTTCCCAGAGTCAGGATGGGCCGAAAATCAACACAGCCACCCACTGTCAGCTCCTTACTACCCAACCTCTCCTGGGGGATGCAGCGTTTTCTTTTGCTGGGTTTGTACCTGTCATTACCTCTCTAAGCAGCTCAATGACAGTCTAGTGGCCCTGCCCCACAATGAGAAGGGCCAGGCCCCAAGGGCCTTCCATGGGCTCTGGGCCAAATATTTCACTTTTATTAAAATTCTCACTTGGCTGTGGCCTATATCCCAGGGCCACATCCAATTTGCCAAAGTCGTGGAGGGAGAGAAAGTAAGGGAGACAGTGGCGTTCAAGTAATCAGAACATAACGATGTTAAAAGGAATTTCTGATGAGCTGGCCAAGTCAGTGTTATCACCCCATTTTGCAGATGAAGAAACTGAGGACTGGAAAGGCTAACACTCCACCAAAGGCCGTGAGTTAAGTGGGCAGAACATGCTATGTGTGACTGGTAAGCAGGTAGGCCTGGGCCTCTGTGATGCTAGCATCCTCCACCTGCACAGGAGGGGGGTGAGCTTCTTGCTGCATCTTTGGCAGCGGCAAGAAGGCTCTTCCAGAGCTCTCTGAGGGCAACAGGGGCCAGAAGCTGCCTACCCACCGCCCTGGGGTGGGTGGGTATCTTTATGGGGTCTGGCACACTTTACCTCTGTGACAGCTGTGAAGCCCCAGGGAGGACACTGCTCAGGCCCAGCTGCTCCCAGAGCCTGGAGCCTCCCCATCAGCTAAATCTGGCAGGAAGGTGGAAAGGCCTGGGGGTGCTGGGACCTGGGCCAGATTCCAACATTTGTGGAGGTGAGAGAGCTCTGGACCTGTGAGGGGGCAGCCCCTGGAGGTGCGGACTCAGCTTCAAGGGCTGGGCACACTGGGGATGCTTGAATGTGGGTGTGGCTACCTGGGCCCCAGGGCCTTGCAGACAGATGTCTTCACCTGCACATGGAGGGGGACAGCGGGGGAGCTGGCCACAGAGATGGGCAAATACCCTGATATGAGAGCAAATAAAATCAGGGCTTTAACTATGGTGGGCCGACTAGAGGCTGGGTGCTCTGGAGGTGAAAGGCTTAAGACCTGCCACAGCCCACTGGGGGCCTGTGAGCTGGCTGGGGGAAATAAGATGAACGGTGACAGAGGGCCCCAAACAAGAAGACAAGCAAATGCCTCAGGGCTGGCATGTATGTGCCTAAACACGCACCCCCAGAATGGAAGGTGACATAGAGAGGTCCTTTACCTACCAGGCTATCTGATGACACGCTGGGTGGTGAGGTGGTGGGAAGCAGGCCCAGGACCCCCAGACAGGGATGTCAATGGGAACCCCTTTCCGCAGGCACTACGTGAGGACTTTTCCAACACACGTGCTCTGACCCCGGGTTCTGCTTCTAGGCATTTGCCTGTAGGCATATTCTCACGCATGAAAAATAAGGCCTGTGCCCCAAGTTACACGTTATGGCATTAATTGTAAATACTGACAAAAAAGGTTGGGAACAAAGGTCCACCTGCGGAGTAAGTTTAAAGATATGATGGTCACCTGGTCCTTGGGAAACTGTGCAACAGTTAAAATGAAGGATGTGAATCACCACTAAGACGAACTTCAGCTGAAGAATACCACGGTGCAGAATGGGAATAGTGAGCATGGTTTAATACCAATTTATGTTAAAAAAAAAAAAAAAGAGAGAGAGAGAAAATACTACATATGCGTATTTGCATACACACACACACACATATATATACACACGCACACACAGGAAATATCACCGAGATCCCCACAGATCTCCTTGTCCGTGGGGGTGGGAATTGGTTGGCTGAAGAACAAGGGTGGGAGGAAGCTTTTACTGGGCACCTTTGCGTAACTTTGGAATTCTAATAAATTGTGAATTTGCTATCTATCCAAAAATTTAAAACGAAGGAAAAAAAAATAGAGGCAAGGAGGCGATAGGGCCAAGGTGGACTGCCAAGGCAGGGGAGCCAGGTAAGAGTGGCGTGCCAGCAGGGGGCACTGAGAGGGTGCAGGAAGGAGGGTGTCATGGCCAGGGGCATGGCGTTGGGGGCCAGACTATCCCGGGGATCAAACCCCAGCCCTGCTGTTCACTTGTGCTGTGACCCTGGCAGTCACAATCCTCTCCTCCTTCCTGCCCAGGACCCAGGCGACAGCCCAGACATAGCCTGATGCCAGGAGAATGGAGGAGAATCAGAGGATGATGGGGCTCCCTGCCTCTCCCAGGCTGGGGTACAGCCTCTCTTGCCCACCTGCAACCCTCTATTTGGGAGGGGGCCTGATCCTGACCCACCTAAGAAGCCAGGTGACCTGTCATCTTAAAGCAGACCCTGGCACTCTGCATTCTCTCCAGCTAGAGGCTGCTTGGTCACCGCCCCCACTACCCCAGTAAGCCTAGATCCTTCAGGGGTGGGTAAACAAAGAATGGGGAAGGTATCCCAAGATCTCCAGCCTCAACGTGAAGACAAACAGCCCACCTAAGCCTCCCTGAGACCTGGTCTGTGCTCACCCTCCTGCTTAGAGACCACAGCACCAGACCCAGTCAGAGAGGCCCAAAGCACAGCCTGCAAGGGGGGAAATGAGCGTCTCCCAGAGCCCCAGACCATCTGGGGACATCGAGGGGTTATGGCGAATGGCAGATGCTCTGGGAAGCCTAGCAGATGACGGCCAAGGCCTGATGAGCAACTCCTAGAGGCCAGGCATTGGATGCACAAGAGCACATGAGGCTCCAACAGGACCCCAGGGGCTCAGCAGTACTTTCCAGATATGAAAACTGAGACTTACTGAAGTGAAATGACTCCAAATGTGGCAAATGGACTGAATGTCTGTGTCCTCCACAAATTCGTATGTTGAAGGCCTAACCCCCGATGGGATGGTATTTGGAGGTGGGGACTCTGGGAGGTGACTAGGTTTGGATGAGGTCATGAGGATGGGGCCTAGTGCCCTAAGAGAGGAAGAGAGAGATCTCGCTTGCTTCTCTGTCCATGCACATGCACCGAGAAAAGACCATGTGAGGGCACAGGGAGAAGGCGGCCATCTGCAAGCCAAGAAGAGAGCCCTCACCAGGAAGTGAATCTACTGGCATCCTGATCTTGGATTCCCAACTTCCAAAACTGAGAAATAAATTTCTGTTGTTTAAGCCACCCAGACTGTGGTATTTTGTTATTGCAGCTCAAGCTGACTAATACAGGTGGCACAGTGAGGGTTCAAACTCAGATCCGTCAAGACTCATGCTCTGTCAATGACAATCCTCTCCACACCCCCCCAACACCCTGCAACACCTCCACCTCTCAACTTTCTTCTCATTCTCACTAGCCTGGATTTGTTGTCTGTTGTTCAATATGCATTTTATTGTATTAAAAACACAAAAAATTTGCCATCTTAATGATTTTAAGGTATACAGTTCAGTGGTATTAACTACATTTACATTGCTGTGCAACCATCGCCACCATCCATCCCCATAACTCTTTTCGTCTTGTAAAACTGAAACTCTGTCTCTATTAAACGATAACTCCCCATTCTCCCCATCACCAGCCCCTGTGCGTCACCATTCTACTTTCTGTCTCTATGAATTTGTACAGTATTTATCCTTTGTGACTGGCTTATACCACTCAGTCCCCAAGGTTCATCCGTGTTGTAGCAGGTGTCAGAATTT